AGGGGGGTGGCCAGGCAGCGACGTGTCTCGCAGCGATCACGCCCATTTTCACACCACAATTGATGACCACCGCGACGATATTTATTCGGGATCGTGAACTCAAGTCAATGAAGTGTCGCGCCTTGTCGGATACATGTGCTACCGCCAATTTCATTTCCGAGGGTCTCGCGAGACGTCTAAGGCTCCCTATAACAACACGCGCATTGCCAGTCGGTGCAATCAATTCAATGAACACGACTTCGAAAGGTGTCATTCGAATCACTATTCAATCGCTACACAGTGAGTTCCGTAAGGATACATCGAGGCCGAGTCCTCGCGTTTGGGCATTCGCACCGGAAACCGAGCTTTCCGCTAGAGACCGAGGCCGAGTCCTCGCGTTCGTACGTTCACGCGCTCGTGCGCATCGGAGACCGCGCTCTCCGATAAGAGACATCGAGGCCGAGTCCTCGCGTTCGTCTAATCTTGAATGAACAATTATGTTTGACAATCCCCATAATATCAGACTTAGTTCCGTCGGAAACTTTCCCGCGAGATTCCATCACAATACCGTCCAATATAAAATTAGCTGATCCAGAGTTTCATTTGCCGCGTCCTGTTGATTTGCGGATTGGTGCGGAGGTGACATTGTCGTTATTCTCCATAGGCCAGATCAATTTATCGATACGAGATAACGATTTATATCTACAAAATACTTGTCTCGGCCGGGTCGTTGCGGGCGGAAGCTCGTCGCGGAATCAGCCGAAAACTGCGATATGTAAATTAACTGGTCTAGATCAACAGATCGCGAGATTCTGGGTGATTGAGGAGATATCTGATCCCACCGTTACGCCGAAATCGAACGAGGAAATCGAATGCGAAGAGCACTTCACTAAATTTGTTACTCGTAACCGTGACGGTCGATATACAGTGAGACTACCATTTCGCAGGGATAAGATGAGCCTTGGCGATTCGCGAACCGTCGCGCTCAAACGTTTAAATTCGCTCGAACGGAAGCTCGATTCAGATCCATTGTTAAGGGCCGCCTATTCGCAAGTAATACAGGAGTATTTAGATCTGAAACAGATGATTCCGGTGAATAACCCTTCCAATGAAGGATTTTATATGCCGCACCATGTGGTAATCAAATCATCGAGCAGCACGACCCGGGTTCGTGTCGTGTTCGATGCATCGGCAAAAACGAGTAATGGCACATCGTTAAACGATAGGTTGATGGTAAGGCCGACTATTCAAGATACGTTATTCGTTCACTTAATTCGATTCCGTACGTATAAATATGTTCTCACAGCAGACATAGAAAAATGTATAGGCAGATATTGTTGCACGAGGATGATCAGATGTACCAACGAATACTCTGGCGCCAGAACGATCAAATAAAGACTTTGCAACTTAACACCCTTACATTCGGCGTATCCTCGTCGCCGTATCTGGCTATACGAACCATTCAAAAACTAGCCGATGATGAGCACGACGCGTATCCTGACGCCGCCCGAGTTCTCAAAACGCACTTATACGTAGATGACTTACTTACAGGTACGAATACCGTTAGCGAAGCTCGCGCGTTACGGGAGGACATAATCACGGTACTTTCTCGAGGCGGTTTTAATATCCGACAATGGGCGTCGAACGACGAACGTATCATTAACGATTTAACCCCCGATGCGGTGAATACTATTCTCATCTATTAAAAACGTACGTGTCTCACCGCGTTGTTCAAATTCAAGAAATTACAGACTTACAAACTTGGCGACATATTCGATCAGAGGATAACCCGGCCGACGCGCTATCACGGGGTCAGTTACCGCAGGCTTTCCTGAATAACCAATCATGGTTTTCCGGACCATTGTGGCTAACGAAAGAGGAAGGCGAACGGCCTAACGGTATCGTAGAATTAAAGGAATTACCCGAATTACGAAAAAATATATGTATAGCGACGGTTTCTAACGATTGTAGCTTCCTTAAGAAATATTCGTCATATTCACGATTATTAAAAATCACGGCATTATGCCTACGTTTTCGACCAAAGAACACTTACCGCGGGCAGCTAGGCATAACAGAACTAAATGACGCGGAAACGAGAATTATAAAGATCATTCAAAAATCTTGTTTTTCACGCGAATTGAATGAACTTGCGAATGGGCGCCCGGTAAAGAAAGGCAATATTTCAGCGCTAAATCCGTTTCTCGACGAAAATGGTTTGATTCGCGTCGGCGGACGCCTCAGACTATCTAAGTTAGCCTTCTCGCAAAAGCACCCG